GCCTCGGAGCACTTGGGGGCTGCGACCTGTGCAGGCTTCGAGTGGGGCCTCCAGGGCCCCAAGATTTGAGACTTGACTCCACAGTCTCCAAGACCTACCCCAAGAGCCGCCAGGCCTGTCCCTGCGCCATGCCCTGCCCAGCTCAGCCTGGGGCTGCCCGTACAGGCCTCTCCTGCTGACTTTTCCCGAGAGTGACCTCTGGACGACCTCACGCGCACACAGGGAGGAGGAAGAGCAGGTTTATGAGCAAGGCCGGCGCATTCCTCCCCGGCGGCCTGGCGCCCTCAGCCTATCAGCCTATCTCACCATCGCTGGGGAGTGAGGGCCTGGCCACCCTCCTGAGCCTCGGACCACCCCCACCCCGCCCACCTGCAGATACCGCACGCCACGGCCGGGGGACATCATGCGGTCTCTGAGCCGAGGTCACCTTGGAGGTAGACTGGGCCCAACTGCAGCTGCATCCCTACAAGTTCAGCCTCTGCTTACACACCTCCAGGGATGGAGACCCCCCTCCATATTCCCCCAGCTGACTGATGGCTCCATTTTAGGTGGTGCAAGAGTCCCTTCTGTGCATGGAGAAAAACCAGCAACTCTGGGAAAGTCGTGAGAACCAAGCTGCCCAGTATGGTCCAGCACCCAGGCCCTGAGCTGTCTCTCTGAGACCTCCAGTGAGTCCCAATTCTGCCTCTGGACCTGCAGATCTGCCTGTCCCCACAACCCTAGGACAACTGCAAGGACTTCGGGGTAGTGCCAGGGGTCTCTCCTCCCAGGCTGGCTTCTTAGCCCAACCCTGACTCCCCAGAACTCTGAGCAGAGCCACACAGAGCAGGACTATCACCTCCAGGAAGCCGGGCACAGACCTTGGGTAGTGTGGCCTGAGAGGGCTACCACATGTGCTTTTCAGGAGCAGGTGGAGCCTCAGTGTCTGTGAACGGCCTTACTGCTCTATCAGGAGGGGCCTTGGCTCCCCAGGGATGCTAGCTATGCCACAGGCCCTCACCCAGGGGCCCACACCTTCAGTGTCTCATCCTCACTGTTGGGCCCTGAGATCCCCCAGGCTGCTCTTGGCTGTTGGTTCTGGCCCATTCATTCACTGATTTCTTTGGCCAGTAATTGGACCAAAGTTTTCTGAACCCTTGCTTGGGCTGGTTCCAGACCAGGACCCTGTGGCAGCTTGAAACAGCATGTCCCCTGCCAGGGGCACCCAGGAGGGCTGGGAGAGTTGCCATCCAGGCCAGAGGACCAGATATATTTGCCCACCCTCAGGGAGAGTGGGCCCAGGGTTCACCCAGCATCCAGAGCCATCCCGCAGTTTCCTCCTCTTGTGCCCTCCAGACCTGTTGGGGCACTAGGTAGTGACAGGAATCCGCTGCACCCACCTGCAAGTTACCAGCCCCCGTCGTGTTCGTGTGACCAAGTGGGTGTGACCAAGTGGGTGGTTCCGACTCCACACCAGCCCTAGCGGCTTTGCTTTTGACAACACATATGTGGGATCCAACGAGGCGTGGAGCAAATGTCTCACACTCTCTGTGCCTCAGCAAAATGAAATTAATATTAGGACCTGCCTCACCGGGTAATGGTGAGAAGGAAAGGGACACACAACAGGTGCTCACTAAATGCTCATGGCAGCCACTTGGGAAAAGTTTAGGTGTTTCTTTAAAAGTTCAAAGTAGGGTTGCTACTAAAAACATGGAAGCAACCCTGTTCATCAGCTGACAGATGGGTGAAAACAATGTGGTCTGCCTCCCACTGGGATATTCTCCAGCAATCATGTTATTACTTTTAATAATAATTAAAAAGGAAGGAAGTACTGATATGTACTAAACATTAATGAACCTTGTAAACATCGTACTAAGTGAAAAAAAGCCAGTCACAAAAGTTACATAGTGAGAGATCCGTTTATATGAACTGTCCAGAATGGGCTAATCTCAGAGGTGGAGAGTAGGTGAGTGGATACTGGGGAGGCAAGAGGAAGGGGGTGCCAGCTAAGAGATGCGTGCTTTCTTTCGGGGATGATGAAAATGTTCTAAAATTGACTGTGGTGATGGATGCACAACTCTGTGAATGCACTAACGGCTGTGGAATTATACGATATAAATGAGTGGATCACATGGTATGTGAATGATATCTGAAGGAAGCTGTCAAAAACAACAACGGAAACATAGTTGCCATGTGGCCCAACAATTCCACTCCTAGGTCTATGCCCAAGAGAACTGAAAACGTGTGTGCCCACAAAGGCTGTGCATGAGCGTTCACAGCAGCATCACTCAGAATAGCCAAGGAGTGGAACTAATAAAATGAGGCACCTCCATACAGGTGGGCATTATTCAGCCATAGAAATAAACAAAGTCGTGCTACACACTGGATGAAGCTGGAAAACACGCCAAGTGAAAAAAGCCAGGAGCGAAAGACCACATCTTGTATGACTGCCTTTATATGAAATGTCCAGAATAGGCAACTCCATTGATGCAGAAAGTAGATCAGTGGTTGCCAGGGGCTGAGGCTCTCGGGGGAAGGGAGGGACTGCTGGTGGAAATGGCATTGCTTTTTGGGGACATAATGTTCTAAACTTACGGTGTGGTACCGGTTGCCCAACTCTGTAAATACCATCAGAGCCCAAATTGCATACTTTAAGGAGGGGAACTTTAGGGCATGTAAATGATATCTCCATAAAGGTGTTTAAAAATTAGTGACTGCTCCATGACTGTCCTCGCTGCCTCTTGGCCAGTGCTCAGTGACAACCCTGCACCATTTGGTTCTGGACCAGGGCCCTGGCTGGTGGGGAACGGGTGCCCACCCCTTTGTGGGTGAGGGGAGAGAGTGCACTGCAGCCACAGGAGAGACAGAAGGACACCCAGGAGCACACGCCCACTCCCCCTGGGGAGAAACGCAGCCCTTCTCAGAGACCCCTGCCCGAGAGTCCCCTCTGGCAGGCCTCCTGCCCCGTTGCTGGCTGCTCCCTCCAGCCAGCCGTCTGCACTTCTCCTCAGTGAGGACGACACCTGCCTCCCAGGGCTGCCAGAGAGGCCGGCAGGATTCTACAGTGGGGATTGCTTTGTTGTCGTTTTCAAATCGTTTTATTATGTACAATTTTTATTAAGGAAATAATCCAAACATACAAAAAATGCAGAGTGTAATACAATGAGCCCCCATTTGCCAACACCAGCACCAACAAACTATTAATGCTAATGACATGGACGGAACAGAAAGCGGTGGAAGCCTTCAGGACTGCTCGCCACTCCCACCCCCGCTCTGGCTTCGTATGGACCAGTTCTAGAGACGGTTCAGTCTCTAATGTGGGGAACACCGGGCATGTGGGCCCTTCTCGGGACCTCTCACCAGCCCCCTCCCTCTACCGGGCCCTGAGCAGGTAGGACTGAGTCCCTCCATAATTCTGAGAGTCTACGACTCTGTGATTGGCTTTTTAAATTGTTATTTATTACATACAGTAAAAAATCAGCCTATTAAACATACAGTTCTATGAGCTTTGAAAAATGCATACGGTTGTGTGATCCCCACCAGAGTCAGCATATAGAACAGTCACAGACCTTGCCCCCAAAATGCCTAGTGCCCTTTGTAGTCACCCTTCCCTCCACCCCGCTCCTGGCAATCAGTGCAGTTTTCTGCTCCTGTAATTTTGCATTTTCTAGAAGGTCACATCAACAGAGTCACACTGTGTGCAGCCTTCTGAGGAGGGCGTCTTTCACCCTGCCTCTGGGACTCACTCCCATGGTTGCGGGTATCAACAGTCAGTCCCTGCATTGTGCGAAGGACTCCTGTGCGTGAAAATACCACATGATAAACTGCTAGTTCATCTACTTGCCAGCTGGAGGGCATTTGGGTTGTTTCCAGCTTGGGGTGCTTATGAATGAAGTCGCTACGAACATTCTGGTATGGATTTTTGTGTGAACATAAGTTTTATTTCCCTTGAGGAAGTACCTAGTTGTTAGAACACTTGGCTTGTGTAGCAACTATGTGTTTAACTTTGTAAGTAACTGCCAAGCTGTTTCCAACATGGCCATGTCATTTTGCATTCCCACCTGACTTGGAGTTCAAGGACTCAAGCAGGGCCAGGTACTGTGCTAGGCCTGGTACGGAAGTGGCCAGGAAGAGCGACGCCCTGCTCTGCTGGGACTGCCAGAATAATGGGGCAGCAGATAAGAAACAAGAAAGCCCATGGACATGCAGGATCACGTGTGCTGTTGATAAGGGGGCTCTGAGGGAATAAAGCAGTGTGACACAAAGAAGGGGGGTGACCAGGGAGGCCTCCTCATGAGGAGAGTGAACTGAGACTAAGGAGAAGGAGGAGGAGTCATGCAATCCAAGATCCAGGGGAAAAGGGTTCCAGGCAGGTAACTGAGCAAGTACAAAGGCCCTGAGGTCGGCACAGTCATGTTATGACGCTGTGACTCAATGATAGGTTTATTGCATGCTTACCATGTGCCAGGAACGTGCTGAAAACCTTAGTGACATCTTCCTGTCTAGCCCTCGCAGCAACCCTAAGCGCGAGAGGCTGCTGTTATCCCAGCTTTCAGCTGAGCAGCCCAGAGGTTCAGAGGGGTTGTGACCCGTCCAGGGCACAGGCTATAAGGGGCAGAGCCGGGACTCGAACCTGGTGGGGCTCACAGAAGTGTGCTTACCACCAGGGTTCCAGCCTCAGCTGGGATCGTGCTGCCATCCTGCAGTGGGACGTGGGGCAGGTCAGCGTCCTCCCCAAGCCTCTGCTTTGCGTGCCCCGCAGCCGCAGCCGCGGCAAGACTCTCCGGTGGGGCGGGCGGTGGGAGCGTCCTGGCGCGGCGGTGCCTGGCTCGGGCGGGAGACGCGCAGCGAGTCCGCCGGGCGCCGACAGAGGGCAGGAGAGGCCCGCGCCTCCGCGGTGGCGGCGCTGCACGGACGGCGGGACGTGGGCACCCTCTCGAGACTGTGTCTGCGAGGCACGACCCAGGGACGCCCCGTGCACGACGCAGGGCCGTGGGGGTGGAGCCGGCAGGCGCCGGCCGGACCCTAAAGACCCCAGCGCCCCCGTAGGCCTCCCGTGCCCAGGCCCCGTGCGCCCCCACCTCACCCTAACTGGGCTCCAGCCTGCGAAGTCCCCACGCGGCTCCAGAGCGGTTGCGAGGTGACCAGTCCCAGCGGAGACGCGCAGCGTGCCCAGTGCACACCGATTTCAAAGGCTCAGCATGATGAGGAACAATCCAAACACCTTTCATGTAGCGATCATTTTCTGCACTGATCACATGCTGAAACGCTATTTTGGGTATACTGGGTTAAAAAAATAAAAATTCATTTCACTTTTTAGTTTTTAAAATGTGGCTATTTAGA